TCAATTGAATATGATTTAGAACATACTTCCTAAGTCATATTCGTATGCTTTGGCCAAAGACTTCCGAATCATATCTTAGAGTATTCTCCTTCCACCATGGAATGTTAGAGATTCCTTGTTGTGCATTCATATGCCTACATGACTAGATAGCTTGACCCCAACAATGCCGTGGACACTCTCGATGGAATGCCTTTGACATGATCAAAGATTAAGGACCTAACCATTAGACATTTATGATGCCTCAGGTCAAAGGACTACTTTGCATATTGCAACTTACGAGTTCTTACATAACATGTATGTTTGTACTCTCTTTTGATCGTTGTTCAGTGTACTCGATTACTCTTTTAAGCACCTATGTGTTTGTCTTAGTGTCCAACACTAAATGACTTGAGACTAGTCATACTCACGCTTGAGTTGACATAACACATACTAACCTTAACGGATTGTCAATGCCCAATTGGCAATCCTATGGTTAGGAACGTTTTAGGAATGAACATAAGAGAAATGTCTCATTAATCTAACTTATTTAAATCACTTCTCTCTTAGATCAAATACATTCATTGGATTCCCTTATTGCTTAAACACATGATACAATAAATAGTGATTAACAATAAGTTTTGCCCTTCATTAAACATATAATAGTTTAATACAATAAGTATTCCAAAAGCTATTGCATCAAATGAGTGGCTTTGTGAACATACTTCCAACAGCACGGTATGGGTTTACATAGTTCTCCAGAATTAGACATGGCCAAACAAGAAGCCGACACATTTCAAGACACGGAAGGGACGCCTGAACAAGTGCCCGAGACCTAACTGACTCGTCAGTCCCTCAGGCCTCAAGGTAAAAAGGCATCAAAGAAAAAAGGTAGTTCTTCCAAAGCATACGACAGATAATGACACGTGGCGTGACAAGATTGGTTAAAAATCCTATTTGAAATTAAAATTATTTTATTTTTTTATTCTTTTAGAAAAAATTTAAAAATATTTTAAATGGGTTGGGTGCCAGCGCAATTTGTAGGGGTGGAGATCGTTTGTGCCAGCGCATTTTTTCACTGGGTGCCAGCACATTTTTTTAGGGGTGTAGATGCATTGGTCTATTACTGTTTATTGGAGTCTGTTCCTGTTCACTTTGCTCTCATACACACTCATTCACGAAAGGCCATTTATAACCTCATTGACACACACACGCGCGCACACACACACACTCTCATCCTATCATTCGCGCGCGCACACACATCCACACTCTCATCCTATCATTCGCGCGCGCACACACATCCACACATTCTTCATGAAAGGCCATTTATAATGTTGCAAAAGACTAAAATACCAATACATTTTCAGCGTACTGGTACCACATAGACATAAGCGTTTGGTACGTGGGACGGGACGGGACGGAACGGGACGAGGCGTTCCGTCCCGCGTTTGGTGCGCCAAAAATGGGTGGAACGGGCTGTTCCACGGGACAGATTTTGAGTGTTTTTGCGTTCCACCTCCCCCCCCTGGAACGGGTTTGTTCCACGTTTGTGGAACGCAATGTTTTACCATTTTAAGACAAATATACCCCATGTCTTTTTCAAAAATTACACCTTCGTTCAGTCCCGTCCCGTTCCGTTCCGTCCCGTTCCGTTCTGTTCCGTCTGCGTACCAAACGCACGTGTACTGGTACATTCAAAATCAAACGCACCACACATACACAAGCAATCAATATCATGGTTTTGTTAAATTAAAAGTACCTAAGGCTCATTGGTATATTTAAAACCAAATGCATGTCTCCATTTAAAAACAACAGCACCCATATAGTTATAAGTACACAAATTAAAGATCATATACTAAACAAATTCATATATCCATTATACAATTACATATTTCCCTAGCTGGTATGAAAAGAAAAAGTAATTGTACTACATTAATGGCCTTCTTTCCCTTAAAAGATTAGAGAATAAGCAACTCAACAGCTACATTGACAATAACCATCTAACCATCTCAATTCTTTCCAAACCCTACGGACAAAATTACCGTCTTAACTTAGCATCCTGATCGTGAAATTAAAACCCTAGATGAGCATTTCTTCATTTTCTATCCCAAAGGGCCGGGCCTTATATTAACAAACGAGCAAAGCCCATTAAACAGAATATGTCGCGCCAAAAAATAAAAATAAAAAAATAGCCCCAACCCAACCCCAATTTGATTGCAGTGTTGTAATTAAAAGGGTGCCTTCAACGAACTGTGGATTGCAGACATAGTTTTAGTCAATTTACGTAAAACATTATACTTCACTCCTTGCATTTAAATTCGAATTTTTCTGGTAAATTAAAATTAAAATAATTTTTTTTATTAGCACCCCACGTTATATTGAATACACCCCATTTTAAAATTTGATATTAAATGAGTTATATACCTTAATATGGAATGACAATTTCGATCTTATAGAGTTTTAAAAATAAATAAATAAACCCTAAATCACTTTTAACATGTATATCTTAAGTTATTTATCTTCTTCAACTCTCAAAACCACTCTCACCTTCCTCCATTACATGTAACAATTTACTATGTTAAATTGTTGTCTCAAGTTTGGCAATGAGACATGCAAGCTTATTCGCCAGAAACCTTCGTAACAAGAATTGTCACATCCTGACCCGAGACCCCATTATATTCCGAGCTCGACTCCACCGTAGCACGATATTGTCCGCTTTGGGCCCCGACCACGCCCTCACAGTTTTGTTTCTAGGAACTCAGACAAGAACTTCCCAGTGGGTCACTCATCATAGGATTGCTCTCACGTGAACTCGCTTAACTTCGGAGTTCCGACGGAACTCGAAGCCAGTGAGCTCCCAAAATGCCTCGTGCTAGGTAGAAATGAGAATATACATATAAGGCTTATATGATCCTCATCCCTGGACGATGTGGGATCTTACAATCCACCCCCCTTAAGGGCCCGACGTCCTCATCGGCACACTTCCGGCCAATGATTGGCTATAATACCAAATTGTCACATCCCGGACTCAACTCCACAGTAGCACGATATTGTCTGCTTTGGGCCCCGACCACACCCTCACGGTTTTGTTTCTAGGAGCTCACACGAGAACTTCCCGGTGGGTCACCCATCATGGGATTGCTCTCGCACGAACTCACTTAATTTCGGAGTTTCGATGGAACCCGAAGCCAGTGAGCTCTCAAAAGGCCTCGTGCTAGGTATAAATGTGAATATACATATAAGGCTTACAGGATTCACATCCCTGGACGATGTGGGATCTTACAAGAATCATAAGGAAAAAAAAAATTGTTCTTATTAGACTTATACAAATAGCATACAATTGTCAATTTGCAAATTTTTAAGCACCACGGAATGTTTCATACAACAACAATCTTTTATATATGCTTTATTTTATTAGTGGTTTATACACTGATTTAGTTCTAATGATATGGGAGGAAACCAATATTAATGTTTATTTCTTGTGATGTGGTTAGAATTTTGTGAAGCAATGGAGGGAAGTAGCAAGTTTTAAAGGTTTAGGCTATCTCTAACCGAAGGGTCTAGAGGGCCAGAAGGCCGAAAATAGCCCTAAAACCGTCTCCAACCGAGGGCTCTGGAATCTGGGAGGGCCTCATGGGATCAGAGAGGGCTAGAGGGCTGGCTATTTTTTTTAATGTTTTCCTATTGCTGTCGGTTATAACCGACAGTAATAGTTATTCAAAGCAAAATTTTTCTTTTTAATTACTATTAGTGTCGGTTATAACTGACACTAATAGTTTGAATTTTTTTTAATATAACGGCTAGTAGCCGTTGTATTAATTTTTTTTTTTTATGAATTTAAACTTCTTTTTTTCCCTTTTTTTTTCCTTTTCATATGAATCAAATTTTGTTTCATATTTTTTTTCAATTCTATTTTACAAAATTTGTTTCAATTTTTTTTTAATTCTATTTTTTTCCTATAACTTCTATTTTACAAAATTTGATTCATATTTTTTTTTCATATAACTTCTATTTTACAAAATTTGTTTTATATTTTTTAAAATTCCATTTTTTTTCCTATAACTTCTATTCCACAAAATTTGTTTCATATTTTTTTTTCAATTCTATTTTTTTTCCTATAACTTCCTAGGCCATTTATACAACATTAAATTAAATTAAGTAGCATGGAACAACATTAAACAATATGAAACAACATTAAATAACATTAACCAACATTAAACAATTGTAATTTTTAAATAATAAATTATGTTTGGCCCTATGACCCTTTGGCCCTCGGTTGGAGACGGTTTTTTGTGACAGGGCTAAAACGAGCCCTCTGGCCCTTTGGCCCTCGGTTGGAGACGGAGGCCAATATGGCCCTGTACTGTTCATTAAAATATTAATATCTTGGGGAATCTTGGAGGGCCAGAGGGCTAAAACGAGTCCTCTGGCCAGCCCTCGGTTAGAGATGGCCTTAGGCAAGCTCATGCTGAATATTATAGTAGTTTTTTTTGTAGCTTTTTGCCGAATCTTCAAGGTTTTTCATTATCAAAGAGTAGGCTAGCATCTGGAAAAGTATGAAGCAATCCAAAAATAGTATTCATGAAGTTAATGCAGAACCATTATGCTATGCATTTCTAAATCCCTTTTTGCCACAAAATGATGGATTCTCAATTTTTTTTTTGTTAATGGTGGATTTTCAAATCTACATCTTTATTATTTGATAGGGAGGAGGAACAACATAGAAATATCCTATTCGATGAAACAAATATGATCTTTGGTTGACCTTATGTATTTGCATCTAAGATGTGAAGAGTGTGGGGTGTATGTAGGAAATTTAAGGTGTATGTTGAGAGTTGGGGTGTGAGGGTATTAAGGAAAAGTATGTGATGTGTATTAAGATGAATTTTAATTAAAAAAAAATATAAAGTGTATTAAGTATGTAAGTTTATTCAACAATATAAGAAGTGTTAATATAACAAATTCTTAAAATATCCAATCGTTAGTCAAAAAATAAAAGTACATTGTGGGCTTCAATAAAAAAAATGAATGTGGAGTGGGTTAGGGAAATAAGAGTTAGAATATGGCCACTTCGCCCAATAGAAAGCCCAACGCTTTGTCCTAACGCGTCTCTCTCTCCCTCTGCCGTCTCTCTCCTCCCCCGCACGCTGATTTCACCACATTGACATGGTTGTTGCTTGTGCCCTCTGTGCATTGCGGCACAGCTTTAAACCCATAAGGGCCACATCAGAATAACAAACCTCAAAGACCCTCTCTCTCTCTCTCTCTCTCTCTCTCTCTCTCTCTAGCATCGTGGCTCTTCCGCATCCTCTAAAATCTCAAAGCAAAATTCCATGGGAGCTTCACTCTCAGAAACCCTGCACTAAAACCCACAAAATCGACTTACCCAGAAGAGCTAATCACATGCATTTTTCCATGGATTTGAGAAGGCTTTCAATCCCAAAATCCCATCCTTTTCTCTTCTCCCCCATCAACCGCCCGTGCGTGACCTGCACCGCCCAACACCGCCCCCAAGAACCTCCGCAACCGCCGCCATTGCAGCTTCCGGATCAACCGGAGCCGACCGATCAGAGTTTGCACAACTGGGTATCTTCTATTCTCTCAAAACCATCTTTAGATTCTTCTAAATGCAAGGCTCTCGTACCCCTTTTGTCCCCTCTACATTTTGATCGATTGTTCTGTTCCATTAGATCCAATGTGAACCCCACAACAGCTCTCCATTTCTTCTATTTTGCTTCTGAATCTTTTAAGTTCCGGTTTACTGTTCGATCTTTTTGTGTTTTGGTTCGTCTGCTTATTGGTTCGAATCTTGTGGCCCCTGCGAGATTGCTTTTGATCCGTTCAATTGATGGGAATGTGCCGATTTCATATGCTAACCCCATTCACAGGCATATGGAGATAGCCATTGCCATGTTAGCGTTGAATACCGTGGCTGAACGAGGTGTTGGTGTTCAGGCATTGGACTTGTTGATTCATGTCTACTGCACCCAATTTAAGAAATTTGGTTACGCGGTTGATGTGTTTATGTTTTTTTCTGATAAGGGTGTCTTTCCGTCTTTGAAGACTTGTAATTTTTTGTTGAGTTCGTTAGTGAAGGCCAGCGAACTTCATAAGAGTTATCAAGTATTTGAAGTTATGTCTCGAGGTGTTTCTCCTGACATTTACTTGTTCACTACTGCGATTAATGCTTTTTGTAAGGGAGGGAAGGTTGATGAAGCAATAGGTTTGCTTTCAAAAATGGAAGGGCGGGGGGTTGCTCCAAATGTTGTTACATACAATAATGTTATTCATGGTCTCTGTAAGAGCAGAAGATTGGAGGAGGCCTTCCAGTTTAAGAAGAAGATGGTTGAAAACAATGTGAACCCGAGTCTTATAACATACAGTATACTCATTAATGGTTTGATTAAGCTGGAGAAGTTGTATGAGGCAAATTGTGTTTTGAAGGAAATGTGTAATAGGGGATTTGTCCCAAATGAGGTTGTTTATAACACATTGATTGATGGGTTTTGTAAAAAGGGAAATATTAGTGAGGCACTAAAGATAAAGGATGATATGTTATCCCATGGATTAACTCCCAATTCCGTTACTCTTAATTCTATACTGCAGGGATATTGTAAAACTAATCAGTTGGAGCATGCTGAGCAGATTCTAGACAAGATGCTATCCCATGGTTTATCCATAAATCAAACTGTTTGTTTCTCAGTCATTCACTGGTTATGCATGAAATCTAGGTTCGATTCTGCTCTAAAGTTCACTATAGAAATGCTTTCAAGAAACTGTAGACCCAGCGATGGCTTGCTTACCACGTTGGTTAGTGGGCTTTGTAAAGATGGAAAACATTCCAAGGCAGTTGAACTTTGGTTTAGGCTATGTAACAAAGGATTTGCAGCCAACACACCAACCTCAAATGCTTTAATTCATGGACTTTGTGAATCTGTTAGCATGCAAGAGGTTGTTCCGCGACTCAAACCAATGCTAGAGAGAGGTTTGGTAATGGATAGAATCTCATACAACACACTTATCTCGGGTTGTTGCAAGGAGGGAAAAGTGGATGAAGGGTTTAAGCTTAAGAAAGAGATGGCTAAGCAAGGAATTGAACCAGATACTTATACTTATAATTTGTTAATGCATGGTCTATGTAATATAGGAAAAGTGGACGATGCAGTTAAACTTTGGGATGAGTTTGAAAATCAGGGTCTGGCTCCCAATGTCTATACATATGGGGTGATGATAGATGGGTACTGTAAAGCTGGCAGAGTGGACGAGGGTGAAAAACTTTTCAGTAAGTTGGTAACTAAGAAAGTGGAGCTAAATTCCGTTGTTTACAATACACTAATCAGAGCATACAGCACAAATGGGAATATGACGGCAGCCCTTGGTCTCTGCTTGGACATGAAAAAGAAGGGCATTCAACCAACTTGTGCCACTTATTCTTCCCTTATAGATGGACTGTGCAATATTGGCAGTGTTGATGATGCAAAATGCCTTCTAGATGAAATGAGGAATGAGTGTTTGTTGCCAGGTGTTGTCTGTTATACAGCACTAATTCATGGTTATTGTAAACTAGGACAAATGGATAAAGTAGGGAATATCTTGCTGGAGATGTCTTCATTTAACATTAAACCTAATAAGATTACCTACACTGTCATGATTGATGGGTACTGTAAACTAGGTATTATGGAAGAAGCAACTAGACTTCTATCTGAGATGACAAAGATGGGAGTTGTCCCAGACGCGGTCACCTATAATGCATTAACTAATGGATTTTGTAAGGAAAGGAAGGTGGAAGAAGCTTTTGAAGTGTGTGATCACATGGCCAATAAGGAGTAGCTTTAGATGAAATTACGTCCATGACATTGGTTCATGGGTTGCTTCAGCCCACTACATGTACAAATCAGGAATGATTGAAAACATTCAAAAGGTTGGGTTTTCACTTTTTGGATGATAAATTCTTGTGTTTTGGACAGTTTTATCATATTTAATTTTGCAACATGTTCTGAAGGTAACATTGTTAATTCACAGGTGCATATTCTTGTTCTTAAGACTGCTGACCGTAGACCATGAGATACATCCCCTTACCGTCTCCAAAATGATTCTTGAGCATTTGGAGGTTGGTAGATCTGTACATTACTCATTTCATTGCTTCGTATTTATATGAATATTTTTTCATTACTTCTAATTCTATAATTCAATAACTTTGCGGAGTTGATGTATGTTATTGTATTTTCGTTAATAGGATGAAGGCTTTCATGATATGACACTGGTTCTTTAGTATATTTATTACTGGTTTAGGATTAAAATAATTAGCTGGCACAATTGTTGATTTCCCATGTTCTTTTTTCATCTTATTCTTTTAGGAACATCTTCCTTCTTTGGCTAACTTATTTAAGATTCTCACTGTTTGATGTGCTTCTGGAGTGCAATACTCTAGTTTTTTTCTAGAAGTTAATATAAATGCGAACATCATGACATTTTCACATTGTATGCTGTAAGTTTGAAATTTTTAGTGTAACTCTTGTGCTCGGCACACCGTATAAGGGAACAGATAGGACTAATAGTACAGACCCGGCTGTTTGGTGTCCTCTCGTACTAAATAGTCGCCGGATTAATTTATGCAGTCGGATAGGATAGTCGGGTATACAACTTCTTAATAAACCATTCCAAAAGGAGTGGATTATTGGTCCCATTCCCTTTCCTCTGAGTGGCTGCGATCCTGATGGTGCTCATGGCGATTGGCTGGCAGTGACCACCACTAGCGTCGACTGAGATGAACATCTTCTTCTTTGTTTCCCCTCCCTCTGTTCTTCCCCCTCCTTCCCACAAATCCCAAAACCCAACTCCTCCGCTGGCCACCATGAACCACCACCACCACCAGGTTCCATCCAACCACCCATAACAAGACTCTTCTCTCCCTGCATCTTCTTCTAGCTACCGGATCTCCCTCCCTCTTCTCCGCCACTGCATATCCGACCCCTACAAACAAAGCCCAGAATGTCAATTTTCTTTTTCTTTCCCTCACTGCCTTTTGAGTTTCGGCGTAAACAAAGCCTAGCTGTGGAGATTGGCAGTAGAGCTTTTCTTTTGCATGATATCTAGCATTGGTGCTGAATCAATGTGTGGGGAAAAGAGATGATTTCAGTTTTTTTTTTAATTTTATTTTAAGTTTAATTTTATTTTAAGTTTGATTCCTCCTATCCGGTATAATATTAAACACGGTATAAATAATACGGTCATTAGTCCGATAGTGCACCAAACGCCCGACTAATTTAGTCAGTACTATCCAGTGACTATTTATCCTATCCGACAGAAATAGTCAATACAGTCCGAGCTGCCAAACAAATATTACAAGCTTCAACAGTTTATGATGAATCATATTTTAAGTGCTTCTCCTTCCATTAATTTTAGTGCCATTGTAGCTTTACCGAGTTATTGGGCGTTGGGCATTTGCATAGGTGATAGCTGTCTGGAGCTGGATGAGGTTAAGTTTTGTGTCTCACCAACTGTCCACAAATTAGGGTTGTCCCCAGTTATTTCATCATCTTTGTTTCAAAGTGATTTTATATTAAGAGTTAATTTGGGAATACCTATTTTTTATTTCTTCCAAGAGTTAGGGATAAATAGAGCATATGATGTGTAGTCTTCAACAACCATTTGGCTAACAGACCGGTTAAAGTAAAGCATCCACTTTCATAGAAGAGCGTTTGTAGGACTAAACAACAACAGCAACAACCACCAAAGCCTTATCCCACTAAGTGGGGTCGTCTATATGAATTCTAGAACGCCACTGTGCTCTGTTGGACTAAACAGAAACCCCAAAATTTACTTTGCCCAACTCTGTATATTGTGAAATGGTGGTGCTAGAACAAATCCAGAGTACCTTAACTTGCGGTTGCTTTACAAAGCTGGTCACCATAAACGGTCATATCCATTTATGCAGATTCGGGATCTGAGATAAACAGAGCATCGGACTTATAGTCCTGGCCTATATATCATATAAGCTAGGAACCGTGGCGAGTGATGAGTCACGACTGATGACTATTATGAGTCAATACATTAGCCCCAACTTTAATGAGCATTTTCGGGGACTATTCTGCTTCCAGAGGGAATATCCTTGCTCATATTTAAGGGAGTCATTCAAAATGTGACCAAAACACCAGAAACGGGGACTAACCTAACTAATGATTGAGGAATTTGACAATAATTGAACCTTTTGATTGTTCACTAGGTAGTTTTACATTTTAGTGGTCCACACGTTGGTTCCTGGGACCGGGAGAGGAGATTTGCACCTGATCACAACCTTTAACATCATTGCATAGTGGCATCTCTCAGGAAAAATTGCACTCTTGTGCTCACGTCCATTGTTAACTGCTAAAGTACTACTGAGTACTGTGGCTGTAGTATATATCCTTTTTTCCATCTCAACGATTGAACATCATTAGTATTCCTCGAAAGGATGTCCTAACTTATTAATTCAAGGAATCTGTATCAATTGACTGTTACTAATTCTTGTGGTTTTTGCCAGTTGCAACCCTACTCTGTCGATGAGGCACATAGCTCAACAAGTTGGCCATAGTGAATGATTGAAACATCAAGTGATGGCAGACTCCCAAGGTCTTTTACTTAAAATTATCTTATCTTTTGAAGATTTATTGATCAGTTGTTTTTTTCTTTTCCCTTGTTGATATATAATTTGTGGTTGATGGAGGCTAGAGAACTTCTTCTGATCACAGAATAAATAAAAATTGCTACGGAAAATGTGTGTTGCATGAAACAGGGGAGGAGATATTTTATAAGATAACCTCAGGCAAGGGCTTTACTGTTTAATTTCTAATTTTTTTTCATTCCACAAAACGCAGTTAATGAATTCGGTGAAAATTGTGATCATTATTTCGAGTTGCTAGTAGAATTTTTTTCTTTTTCTTCCTGCTTCTTGAATTCTGTTGTACTACACAACTATTTAATTTTTCTGTTTTTCATTTTCAATCAGGATTTCCTAGATACCCGACCTAGCAATTCCTCAGTCGATCATTTGAAGCTAGTGTATTGAGGTTATCAAGGTCACGGCATACAAAGGCGTCAATACATGAGGTTAGAAGTACCTTTTAAAAAGTCATTCTTGGAGAAAGTAATTGATATTTTGTTCAACTCCTTTTTTTATTTTTATTTTCTTTTCTTTCCCAGGGTTTAGGAATTTGGATGATATCAAAGAGACTAAATTTCCTGAGCGATGGTAAGTTTATGAACATAACAAGTACCATATTATTAGCTGTGGATCATGCCATGGATGACTAGTATTTCAAAGAGAGATTTTAGACTTGAAGTCTCAAAAGTCCAAATTTAACTTTGCAGAACTTAATTACAACATGCAGTAGTTGTAACAGACCTCCCAGATGCTTCCTGACTGCCTTAGATGCTTGCTTTTGTCTGGAAGTCATGGGATTTCCAACAGCCAGCAGCGTGCTTTGCCTCAGTGTTCTATTGGTGCGCAATCTTTCAAGGAGAGGATGGCTTTTCAAGAGAATTTTCACCCAACTGACTGACCGGGGTTTATTTGGGCAGAACCAGTTCCCTGCTTTTTTCCAAATCCAAAGCCATTCAAGTAAAGTCTGTTAGAATGCGAGAGAGAAATTCATTTATCTGTTTCATTTCTGATTCATTATTCTTTTCTTGTGCTAATAAACGTTATTTGCCTTTCCAACCTAGGTGAGAGTACTGGTGGAGAACGCAACCATCTGGTGGTGCAATTAGGACAGAATAAGGTGAAAAAAAACAAGTCTTCCTCTATAGCCGCTAGGTATGGGTTTCGAGTTTTGTTTCTTGAAAAGAAACATTAAATCCGATGCCTTAATGCAATGGTGACAAGATACTATTTGTGGATGAGGAATTTGAATATGAGCTATTATCGTTATAATAGGCCCAAAATATGAGGGTTTTTTTTTTATTTTTTAAGCATCTACGTAAACTTTCTTCTTTTTGTTGTTGGAAATGGTTTGAAATAACACCTTTTGATTGATGGTTTGAATTCTCTCCTTTGTTTGTAAGGGAAAAGTGTGCTCGTGCGCGTGATTAACCATGTTCTCCAATGTGGCCGAGTCTGTAGAACGGACATCTTCATATGACAACGCAGCTAGCAGCTTGGTCGGATTGAAACTCTCTATTCCTGAGTCTGAATTTGAGAGGATTGAAACACAACTTACGAGAGTAATGCTAGGTAGACTAAATTTGCAAATTAAATGATGTGTTATCAATAAAAAAATAGCACATTAATCAACAATCAAGTAATATTTTAATCATTAACTTTCATATTATTTAGTTTATAAAATTTGGCATACAAATTTAGTGTCTTTAGAATTACCATTTCTTCTACTTAAGCTTTTAGCTTTCACAAAAAATAAAAAGAAGGAAAATTAAGGCTAATTTGGTATAGCTGTGCCTTAAAAAAAAATATATATATATATATATAAATATATAAAAAAACTGCTTCTGCTGAGTTGTGAGAATAAACAATGGTAAAATAAAGTCGTTAAGTATTTGGTAAACTTTTTTTTTTTTGTAAAAGTGCTTTTAATATAAAAATAAATAAATTAAACAAAAAACAGTGTCTAAGTGTTTGGTAAACTTTTATATAAATTACTTTGAATATGTTAAATGATTATAAAAAATATAGTATTTAATGTGATATAATAATTGTGACAGTTCGTCCCGAAGTAATTATTTTCGACAACGTGAAATTACTTATATACCCTTGAACGTATGTGGGATAGTGTGGTTTAAGCTTTGGTTGTCGACAAATTATGTATTTTCCTAAGTTTTGGGACCCAATTGGAACTTAGATTTTTTTTGGTTTTGATTGGGGACCAAATCTACACCACACACACACTCTCTCTCTCTCCTATGTACACTCTTTCTCTTCCCTCGGTTTTTCTTCCTTCATCGGTACAATTTGTACGGTCACTCTTTCTAAACTCCAACCAGTCGCGGATCGAGTTTGTGGACATCATCATCATCTTCCTTGTGTCCATACGAACCCATCTATACCCTTTTCTGGCCGTGAAACCTTCGAAACCTGAGAACCCGAGATACTCAGTTTTGGTGCATTGTTCATGCACACGTGAATGTGAAGGTTTCAGTGGTTTTTGAGCTTCTAGGAAGCTTTTGGGCTTCTCCACGAAGCTCGGAGAAGAAAAACAAGGTGAATTGGACGTTGGGAAGCCCAGTTTCAACTAGTTGCAGAGGTGACCAGAATTTCAAGGTTTCTTCGACGAGATTCCGTGATTTTTGGAGCTTAAAATTGGTAAAGTTGTGTTCTTCATGTTTAGAGCTTCATTTTGGTGAAAATTTCATGAATTTTGGTTGAGAATTGAAGAAGATATGACGATTTGAAGTTTTGTCCAGTTTCCGACGACGGCGACCAGTGATTCGTCGGAGAAGAAAGTAGAATATTCCTGATGGAATATTCTTAACGGAGGGTAACAACGTCAGGTAATTTGGACGGAATATTTCTTTCTTTTAACGGAATATTCCTAATGGTGGTTAGGGATTCCGTTAGGCTTCCCTACGCGTGGCCGAGCGTGTTGACGTGCACTTGCCGGCGCGTGGGACGTCAGAAAATTTTTCTAAAAATATGGGGATGTTCGTGTGGTTGTGTAGATCACATTGATATATTCAAACATCTCATTTGAGAAGTTATTAGCTAGTATTGGTTATGTGCTTTAAATTAACGTTTTTATAGTTGTTTCGCATATAGGGGAGACTTATATCGAGGACGAGCGTAGTCAAGGATGACTCGAGGGCTACGACCCTTTGACATACCAGTGAGTTGGCTTTTGATTTTCAGTATATATTTATATACTTGATATTTTCCCAGAAAATGTGCTTAAATGAAAGTATGCTTTGAAAATGCCATGCCTATTGAATTATGATTATACCATGAATTAGAATCGTATGCATAAATGTGAACTGGTGATGTGGATGCTCAGGTAAGTACCAGGTGAGTTATGTTTTGTTATATGAGATATTGATAATGTGAGACGTGATTGAAAGCTCATAAATTTGCACCTCGGGTGATTGTGATTTAGCCAGAGATATGGTATGGGCCTGTTTATGATGTCACATCCCGCACCCTATGCTCACATTGGATCCAATTTAGGTTCACTGTCTTGTCGTATAGACCACTATAGGTGGTTCCGACTCGTAGGTGACTAGTGAATTATCGCACAGCCATCATGAGAGCGTAGCATTGAGCATAACTATATTACACCTAGTCTTGTCGTACAAACCATTATAGTGGTTCCGACTTATGTGCAGAGTAATGCCATATAGGTCACTTGTGGTGACTCCAGCTAGATTGACTAACGTGTTATGAATTCAGCCGTACAAATTTCTGCGGGAGTTCTGGCTAATATGTTATTTTCCATGAATTTATTCTCACCTGAGTTACTTATTCTGTTTTATATTTTGGTATGGCATACTTATGAATCTAGTTATGTGAAGCATGAATTGATATATGTATATATATGTTTATATTCCATTTCTGGGAAAATTATATATGTTTTACGGCGAGGGGTTAGAGCATTTGATAAATGAAATGGTTTTGTAAAGCTTTGTTTTTGCCCACTCACACTTTTTGTTTTGTGCCCCTCCAGGTTTTAGATAAGCTTGTTCGTTGGTGGCTCACGGGGATTGATTGGAGGTTCTGACAGACTATCATAAATGTAGGGCATCTTTGGGTGTCATTTAATTAGTACTTGTTTTCTGGACTGAACTTAGGCTACTTATGCTCTGATTGTGTATTCACACATATTCTAGCACTTGTCTTAACCAGTACTCTTATGAGTTGGTTTTCATTTATTCGTATTCTCTATTATCATTTTGCTTCTGCATTGTGTATATGGCTATGTCACCCTCACGTGACAGCCAGCATGCCCTGATTCGGGTCGGGGTGTGTCAATAAATGTCAAAGACAATAATGTAGGGGTAAAGATAGTAATTTTGTAAAACGTATGTGGATATACTTGCTTTTTGAAAAGTTTATTAAATGAGCATTGATTACTATGCTTTAAAAAAAAAAACTTTTTTTAGAAGCATAGTAGGCCGTGCTTCTATTTTTCTATGCTTTTCTGCTTTCATTGACAGCTGTTTAAAAAAAAAAACACTTTTTTTTTGTTTTACCAAACACATTTAATGTTCTAGATTTTTTAATAAGTTGCTTTTTTAAGACCATCTCCAACTCTTGCCCTAAAACCTAAAATGTTTAGCCAAGAAAAATTAGGTTTTAACCCAGAAACAGCTTTTCTGCTTCAACCCTTCTGGCCTAAAATTTTAGCCCCAGATTATTAAAGAATGAATTTAGACTAATTTTTTTAAAATAAAAAATTATGTAGACTATCCTAATTTAATTTTATGAACATTTTAACCTAAAAATATTTACATTTTGACAATACTGAAAAATCACTAACCGACACCATGAAACTCGTTAAACACTTTGGAAAAATATGTAACAAATGAAAGATTTTTTTTTAATTACTTTAGCCGTTAGATTTAAATTTGGACTGTTAAAATTTTTTTTACTGTTGAATTTCATCAAATTAGATCATAACCGTTGGATTCAATGAATTTAAAAATATAAAACTAAATAAAATATACATACATGGTGGGCCAACCCCACTAATCCTTAGCTAAATCTTGGGCTAAATTTGGCTTTTAGGCCACATTTGAACCTTGGGTTGGCTTGAATTTTGGAAGGGAAATAGAAGTGGAAATTTGAGTTTTAACCCAAGGTTGGAGAAGGCCTTAAGGGAATTTTCATGAAAAGGGCTTGGACTAAGGTTATTTTAATAAAAAATCATGCTATAACTTTATTTCATTAAAAAGACTTAAATTTTAATGAAAAACCCTTAAATTTTAATGTAAAGGACAAAATAACTTAAATTTTAACGAAAATGACATAATTTTAATATTAAAAAAATTTAAAAAAAATATGATGCGCGGACTCATGCGTCCTCACATTGTTTATGAAACTTCTACACTATTTATGAAACTTACTGCACTGTTTATAAAACTTACTGCACTATTTATGAAACTTACTACACTGTTTATGAAACTTAACAATACTACACTACTGTGTCATGTTTGTAACCCGGCCCACTCTCTTTTCTTCCCCTTTTCTTTCTTCTTTTCCTTTTCTCCCGTGAACACTCCAGAACTCTCTCTCTCTTTTCGAACTCTCTGCCTTCTCTCTAAACTACCATAGCCAAAAAGAACTCCAAGCACCATCACCACAAATTCCAATTTAATTGAGACCCTAAACCACCAAATACAAGACCTGCGCAAGCTGGGGATCCCTATGGTATCATTGCATGTTAAATTCTGTAATGGGAAGTAGGATAATCCAAGCAGGGGTTCTCGGTAAGAGTTGCTCTAATGGAATTGAGCTACAACCTTTGAAAAGAGAAGGTAAAATTAGCTTGCTTTTGTTGTAATCTATTGCTAGTAATGTCTTCTAGCATCTTGGATCAAATCTGGGTTTGAAATTTGGGTCTGATGGAGTTTTGGGTGGGTGGGTAGGGGATGCTACACAAAAGATATTGAGAAGAAGAAAACAAAAGTCGATATTAGTCATGGCGACAACTGAAACAGACACAAAAATCACAAACCGATCGATTTTTCTTGGCCCAGCCTGGGAAGCAGGGAATGACAGCTGCTTCTTTACAGACATCACAGATCGCAATTTTTATTTTTTATGTGTTTTTATTTTTTTATTTTTTTGTCCTTATCATTAAATAAAGTTAGTGTATGGCTTTTCATTAAAATGCAAATATTTGAAGCCCTTTTCATTAGTTTTTTTTTTTTTAAAGCATCACATTCCCAATGAATTTATCTAACATTGTATTGTACTTCATGGCCTGAATCTTGCTAGAGTTTTTCTATTGCTTTCTTTTCAACTTTCTTACATTCCCATCCATTTATATTTCAAGTTATGTAGCTCAACCTATTATCTCGTTTTTTACTTACGAACGTTTGTAATGTTGACTCAATCATGAAATGATTGCATTGTTTCTTGCTATAAGTTTGATTACATTGTTTGTTGCTATAAATTTCTATTTCTTTTTCATTTATGTCTTTGGCATAACACACAAAGTCACACTGAATTTTAAGTCATTGTTCACTCGAGGCACCTAAAAGAACCTACTTGAACACACAAAAACTAGCTATTGGCAACCTCCAACAGTGTGGCATGCCTATTTTTTTTTTTTCTCGAGTCATCTTGTGGTCCCAAGACCAAAAGCAAATACGTGTTGAACACAAG